TCTCCCATCTAGGGAGAAGGTCAAGGAAGAAGAAGAAGAAGGGGGGCTCTCTCCCCCTTGCTTTCGGTGGCGCCGGAATGCTGCCGGGGGCCATCATCATCACCGCGATCTTCACCAACACCACCGTCATCTTCACCAACCTCTCCATCACCTTCCCCCTTCTATCTACAGCGGTCCACTCTCCCGCAACCCGATGTACCCTCTACTTGAACATGGTGCTTTATGCTTCATATTATTTTCCAATGATGTGTTGCCATCCTATGATGTCTGAGTAGATTCCTATTGTCCTATCGGTGATTGATGAATTGCTATGATTGGTTTGAGTTGCATGTTTTATTATTGGTGCTGTCCTATTGTGCCCTCCGTGTCGCGCAAGCATGATGGATTCACGCTGTAGGGTGTTGCAATACGTTCATGATTCGCTTATAGTGAGTTGGTGAGTGACTGAAACATAAACCCGAGTAAGAGGGATTGTTGCGATAAAGGGGACTTGATGCTTTAATGCTATGGTTGGGTTTTACCTTAATGAATCTTTAGTAGCTGCGGATGCTTGCTAGAGTTCCAATCATAAGTGCATATGATCCAAGTAGAGAAAGTATGTTAGCTTATGCCTCTCCCTCAAATAGAATTGCAATAGTGATTACCGGTCTAGTAACATAGTCAGTTGCCTAGGGACAATTTCACAACTCCTACCACCACTTTTCCACACTCGCTATATTTACTTTAGTTGTGTCTTTATCTAAACATCCCTAGCTTTTATTTACGCGTTCTTTACTTTCTTGCAAACCTATCCTTTCACACCTACAAAGTACTTCTAGTTTCATACTTGTTCTAGGTAAAGCGACGTCAAGCGTGCGTAGAGTCGTATCAGTGGCCGATAGGACTTGAGAGAGTATTTGGTCTACCTTTAGCTCCTCGTTGGGTTCGACACTCTTACTTATCGAAAGAGGCTACAACTATCCCGTATACTTGCGGGTCATCAACCCCCTCTTAATAGTACAACTTTCCTACGACTCAAATCCACCGAAAAGAAACGTAGAGAAACGCCGTCTTCAATATTCTTTGAGGGTCATCAAATCGTCTTGTGTCCAGACATGATATATCTGAAAAGCTCAATGCACACGATTAGTCCGCAAACGCATTGTCATCAATCACCAAAACTACTAAGGAATAAATATGCCCTTACAGAGGGTACGTGGACACACTCTTCCCCTCTCGTTTCTATACATCTCCTAGATAGATCTTGCGTGAGCATAGGAATTTTTTTGTAATTGCATGCTACATTTCCCAACACTACAGGTATCTCTGAAGGTGTTTGTTGGGTTGCATGGATTGCGACTGGGATTTGTCGCTCCGTGTGACGATAGAGATATCTCTAGGCCCTCTCGGTAATACAACATCACAAGAAGCTTGCAAGCATGTGACTAATGAGATTAGTCATGAGGTCTTATATTACGAAACGAGTAAAGAGACTTGCCGGTAATGAGATTGAACTAGGTATGGAGATACCAACGATCGAATCTCGGGCAAGTAACATATCGCCGGACAAAAGGAACTACATACGGGATTGACTGAATCCTTGACATCGTGGTTCAATTGATAAAGATCTTTGTTGAATATGTAGGAATCAATATGGGCATTTAGGTCCCGCTATCGATTATTGATCGAAGAGGAGTCTCGGCCATGTCTGCATTTCAAACCCATAGGGCCGCACGCTTAACGTTCGGTAGCGCTAGGGTAGTATTGAGATATTAATAGTGGAAACACCGAAGGTTGTTCGGAGTCCCGGATGGGATCCAGGACGTCACGAGGAGCTCTAGAATGGTCTGGAGGTAAAGATTTATATATAGAAAGTTGTTGTCGGGGTTCCGGGAAAAAATCCGATATTTTCGGTATTGTACCTGGAAGCTACCAAAAGGTTCTAGACAGTTCCATAGGGGTCTGGAAGTCCTCAGAGGGTTCCACCACGTCCCACATAGTGGCATGGGCTGTAGGGGGGGCGCCCTGGCCTTAATGGGCCAGGGCACCAACCCCTATAAGCCCCATGCACATGGGAAGGGGGAATCCCTAACGGGGAGGGCCTCCACTTTGCTTGGAGGGCCCTCCTCCCCCCTTGACCGCCGCCCTCAGACTTGCCTGCCTGCGGCCCATAACGTGGCTCCCTTGACGGTGTAGTACAACCCATCTGCAAGACCGCCAAGACAAGACCCTTGCGAGGGCCCCGGGCTCGTGAGGCGGACAACACCAAGACCTCCCGAGGGGGCGGGCCCCCAGGCGACCTCCCGAGGAACGGAGATCCTATGTAGGTACCCGGCCTCATGAGGTTGCGATGATGCGAGCCATGACGATCATGCCTAGGCGGACGCTAGCGGGCGCAGAGGAGGCAGTTTCCTCTTTGGTGCTAAGGAGGCAAGGACAGGCGTGGGTTCCCGACGAATCTCCCAAAGGTTTCCATTCGGGTGCTACAAGACCAAGACCACGGGCTCGGTAGGATGAATGTTATCGCCGAGCCCACAACTGCATCACGACCAGAGGCTTTGCAGGCGAAGACCACCTTTCGTCAGGATTAGATGTACTACTTGTCCCCTTTCGAAATTGGCCATTGTGGAATCCCTTCCCGCCTAAGTTTCAAGGGAAGAGGACCAAGGCCAGTATAAATATAGGTTAGCCACCATTGAAGAAAGGGGTCGACTCATTCTCACCCCGGAGCCCTCGCGAGGTAGCTCACCCATTGTACTAGTTCATCTCCAGTCTCCTCGTGAGGCCAATCCACCACAAAGCAGGAGTAGGGTTTTACAGCGCAAGGTGGCCCGAACCTGGGTAAAACTGTCGTGTTCATCTTCTCCTTCCCCGCTCATGTGTGTTTGGCGAAGCTAGGTCGTAGGGTGGCGAGCAGAGACTTGAGAGGTTGAGATGTTCACACACGCCCCATAGTTCGAACCTTATTGGGTCCGCGGAGCCCTGAATCCGACACGTCCCATGACCACAATAAAGTAATCAAAGCCCCCAAAATAGCCACCATATGCCATCAACAACTCCTAGTCGTCGGCATCCGCTCGGACCAACATTGTTGTCTTCTTTAGCTACCCCATCTGGTTGTGCAACACCTTATGAAATCACCTTGACGCCCTCTACTTATTTTTGTGGTCGCCATTGGGTTCATCACAATTTAGTCACCGGTGAGAAAACACCGCCACCCTCCCCTCTTTCCTATCTCTCTTTTAACCAACATGTGGTGGTGGTGGTGCAGGTGAGTGGGTCCCACCAACTGTAACAAAAGAGTAGGGAGAGTTTTTTTTTACTTTTCTCTTTTTAACGGAAGGGCCCACGCGTGAGTGGCACAAACTAATGAGTTTCAATTTTACCCGATTGCTGGTTGCCGCTACCAGGGGCATTTTGGACAAAAATCACGGTCAATAGTCTTTGACTAGAAGGAATTGACACGAAATGGCATTCCTGTAAGGAGACATAAACAATGAGAGGCAGATTTGAGCACAATTGAAAAATAGGGGTATATCTGAGTAGCATGTTTGAGTTAATGGCTGAAATACCAATTTCATTTTCCCACCCTAGGAGATGCTTTTTCCGGTGTATGCCACAGAGCTACTCATATTTCAAACAAATTACAATATTGTCACTTTTAAGACAAATTTCCACATAACTATAACATTGCCCTAAATAAAACCTCCTGCCAGCTTCGCACCAACGATAGAGAGAGCGTCGTTGCAAGGAAGAGGGAGCACGAACCACCATATTGTAATATGTCGCGCTAGGGAGACACCTAGATGGTGAAAAGGGGGCCACAACCTCGTCTCTGTTGCGAAAACACCCAGGGGAACATTACCCCGACCCCTGAGGGTTGTTCATTCGCTGTCGAAGTCATTAGCTGCCTGCAACACCACCACCATATAGAGCCCGAAGAACAACACCATTACCTTGACAGTAACATGAAGTCAAGAGGATGTTCTAGGCAAACTACCCTAGTCCTCCATACAAAAGCATAATGAGCGATCCCATGTGCGGTTACATCTTCTTTTCATGCAGTGATTTGCTAGTATGCGGGTACGTGCACAATTCGTGCAAGGTTCAATTGATGGATGCAAATCTTGCTTCTTTCAAACACAATATTTTGCATGTCTGGCTTTATCGAGTCTACTGTTGCAACCGTTCTGTTTTGTATGTAAGACTTCACATATTTAGAATGAGTATCTTGCTTTACAGCCAGCTTAAAAAAGTTTCACCAAGAACTCCCAACTCTAGTTGATGAGATCAGTGCGCATGCCACAGATGCTCACAAATCTGGTTGTCAGTGCGTGTGTTGTGACTAGCTACACGCATGAAGGATAACAACATACACAAGTGAACTTTTCCTACATTGACACGTGACAATGATTCTAGAAATCAGTAGTGCAAATCCATAATATTGAACCATTTGACGGACCCTATCAACTGATCACGTTTTTGTTACCTTGAAATTCAAAAGTTTTAAACTCATACACCATATAATAATATAGATATAAATAATCACCCTATTAGAAGAAAAAAAACTCATCATACTTCACAGACGAGACTCGGTATTCTACAGGGTGTAGAATAACATGAGCAATTTCAAACGAATCACTTTCGCATATTGGAGAAAATCGCAAGATCTTCAGCGATGCAGTCTAGGTTATGTACGCCTATGATTCTGCTGTGCCCCATCCTCCCTTGTTGTAGAAAAATATATGAAAACATAAAGTGTTATGGTATTCAAAACCCACAATTAGTGGCCAAAATATGTGAAATGTGGCAAAATTTAGCTGTTCGTCCTAGTTGCTCGTCTTCTCGAGCTCCGCTTCCAGAAAAACCCCAGGACGACGGCTCGCAACGACCTAGAACCCTCTCCTTCCCCTCCCCCTCCCCCTCCCCCTCTCCGTCTCTTTCCGAGCAGCGACCGGAAGCGCACACGCCCGCCGGTGCACCCATCAAGGAGAGCCTCCACAACGTCGCCGCCCGTCGGGATGGAGGCCGCGGCGGCGGCGGCCTCCGACGAAACCCTAGCCGCTGTCTTCGCCCAGCTCAAGCCCCACACAATCGCCCTCCTCGACGTCCTCCGCAGCCGCTCCCCCGCCTCCAATTCCGCCGCCGCCTCCTCCCTCCGCGCCATGGCCGCCTTCCTCCGCTCCGTCCCTGCCCCCGCCTTGCAGCCCTGCTTCGAGTACGTATACGCCCGCTCCTCTTCCCCCGTACGCCCCGCTGCTTGAGGAAAACATGCTCTCCTTATATTGTGTGCGCGTGTCTTTGATTTGTGATCTAATCTTGGTGCCCTGTCCTTTTATCTAGCTATACGGCGTTTCCATTGCTCATGCTCCTAGATGCAGCGGTGCAGTGCAGGAAGGAAGGCAAGGCAGCAGGGCAGGGTGTCGGGGAGCTCGACATCACGGATGCCATCGCCGAAGGTGGGCTCGCTTGCCTTGAGTTGCTCCTCACCAAGTGCCGCCTCACCTCGCTCAATCAGGTGATTAATTCCGCTAAGCCATGATTCTGCAGTGTAGTCTAGTCTCTAGCAACCTAACTAGAACCTGTTAAGTAGCTGCTTACTAGAACTTGATTATGGAAATTTATTTTTCAACTACTAACTATAGCCATATGGTACAAAGCATCTCCACACTTTTAAGCGCACATTGGGTAGATCATGTGGGTTATTTTCTGTTGGTGAATCTACCAAGTTTTTCACACATGTTATATAGTTTTGTTTGGCATGCTAGATGGTCGCGTTGCTGAAAAAGTTGACATCTGGGGCAATACTCTCACCTACGGAGGCTTCTGAAGAATTCCGCCTAGGCATTGTAAGATGCTTCAGAGCCATGATTCTGCAGCTGCAATCATGCTCGGATAAGTCCTGTTCGTGTAATCAAGCAACTGTATTACCTACGACCCCAATCATTCTAAGTTCGGAAATTGGTAGTGTGGTTCATCCAAAGCATTCTGCAAAACCAGAGGAGTGCTTGCTTGCATTCCTCCGATCGGAAAATGCTTCACCTGCTGTCGGACATTGGCTTTCACTTCTTCTACAGGTATAGTGTTTATTCCTGAACATATGTATGGACACACTTCTTTTTGCCGTTACTTTTCATTTTGTTTATATAGTGCCTTTGCCACCCAGTTATTCTTTATTTTCCCACAAAAACTATTCTATTATTTGTGCACCCATGTTCTTTTAGATGTAATAACCATGTGTTAGTAAGATGGAACTAATTTGGTTCATTTCATATGGAAGTCATCAGAGTTTGAGGCATCAAGAGGACACCGTGGCAGCGCAGGTGTTAGAAAGGAATCATTGCTCGCATTGCGCGTTCTTATTGCCAAGGTGAGATGTTCTGTGTGACAGCAGTGCCTTGCTAGATGAGATGCTTCTACTATCTTCAGTCAAAAATTCCTAATCGTTTATTAACTAAACCTCTGCCTTGCTAGTATTTAACCCCTCTCCCCTCCCCTCCAAAAAAGACCTGCGACGAAAACATTATTTCATAAAAAGATAAAATTACAAGAAATGAGGCAATGTTGTTAGCTGTCGCATTGACATATTACTCTGGGTAATGATTTTTACTCATTTGAAGCAAAAAGGAATGGGATACACAAGACATACTTAAATATCCTAGATGATTTAAATACCGAGCGGCCAGCGGTACTCTGATTGCAACAGTAAAAGTTGGTGTCATCTTTACGTTTGGCATATCTGTATCTTTCCTGTAGGCATGATTCCTCTTTGCGTAGAAGCATGGTTGGATCGTTTTTAATTATTTTGAGCGTGGCTTCTGGTGAGATTTTTCTTAATTATGTTCACAATTTAGTAAAAGTTGTCTTTCTTGTTTAGGTAGGTTCTGCTGATGCACTTGCCTTTTTCCTTCCTGGTATCGTCAGTCGTCTTGGAAAGCTTCTCTACACATCTAAGACAATGATTAGCGGTGCTGCTGGGAGTGCTTTGAGCATTGAGCAAGCCATTCTTGGATTGACTGAGGCTTTGATGATAGTCCTATGTGACAAGGAAAATTTCAGTGCACTTGATATTCCTAGTGACAGTAGTTCTGCCCAATGTTCTGGTGGCAGTGGTTCTAGTGACCATGTATTGCAGAAGCTTCGCCAGTTGCCAACCAAAACGTTTTCTGAACAGACAGGCAATTCTGAAACTACAGAAGACACTACCTCTGATATCAGTAATAACTCTGCTGATAGAAGAGCACTGCATGTAAAACGCACAAGAAAATGGCTCAAGGAAACAGCAACTAATGTTGGCAAATTGTTTACAGAGACATTTCCACATGTATATTTACCTCCCTCCCCACTGCACGTTATTTTATAAATTAGCATCCTTCTAAGTTATTTTAATACCGTATCCTTCTTGCAGCTTTCTGTTCACTCATCTGAGAAAGTAAGGAGGTCGGTGGTTATTGGTGTAAGGGGGCTGTTGTCTAGTTGCAGCCTCACATTAATGAGAAGCAAGATGTTACTTGTGGTAAGTTTGTAAATTCTTATTTTTTGACTTGTGGAAAGCATAAGAAAATGTTAGCTATGCAGTTATGCTCACATGGTCTACAACTTTGCCATCAATATGCAGCATGTCTTTTATGCTTTGAAATTCATTCACTATGCATTCATACTTTTGGCCCAGCCACCCTGCAAAAAGGAAAGAGGATCTTTTGCTCAGCCAGCATCTCCACATACTTGCCTGGAAGCTCTGTTAACTTCTAACTCCACATCGTTAATTGCAGGAGTGCTTATGTGTTCTAGCATGTGATGATGCGGCAACTGTGTCTGAGGCTGCACAAGATTCTCTTGATTATCTTTTCATGAAGGGTCAACATTTTCTATCAGGAAATGAGGTTTCTGATATATTTACCAGGTTTGTGTTATTTTTGATTGAAACAACACAGTTTACATGTGAGAAAGTTCTCAACTTTTTTGCATGTAAGACAGGTTGCTTGAAAAGTTACCGCAAGTGGTACTTGGAAGCGAGGAGATCACTGCCCTTTCTCATGCCAGGAAACTGTTGGCTCTAACTTTCTATGCCGGCCCTCAGTTTCTGATGAATCACCTTCATCGCTCTCCTGTAAGTAACTTACAATTCCTTTCTTTAGATCAACAACTCTTCAGTTGACTTTTGACTTGATTTTTATTGCACTGGCAGGTTGTTGCTGCTCGCTTCTTCGATTGTTTGGGTTTATGCATTAGTCATAGCTCACAGTTTTCTGGTTCCATGGACAAGCTGATTGTATCAAAGCCACTATCTGTTGGATATCTGTATTCAGTTGCTGAGTTAAAGAATGGAGCCTATGTTAATGATACAAGTCACAGTTCTCACTCTCAGTATGCAACGTCTTCATCTGCAGGCCCAAAAATATCTGTTATTGGGGACAATGGTTTGCCAAATGCAATAAATGGTACAGTTGAATATGAGCTCCCCCATGTACCTTCATGGTTTGTTCATGCAAGTAGCCAGAGGCTATACTCCGCTCTGGCAGGAATCATAAGGCTGGTTGGTCTTTCAACAGTTTCAGGTAAGTTGTCAACTACTTTGAATGCTTGCCATACTTATGATTTAGGAGCTGTCGTGTTTGTTGCCTTTTACAGCGATGCAATTTATTACACTGAAATTTTTGACCTGTTATGTTTTGTTGCTTGTGATGATGACAGGGCAAGGAACCAGTGCATCTTTATCTGTTTTTGTTGATATTCTACTCAATCAGTTCCGGAGGTTAAGCACTGAGCTGCGCGCTGAAGACACTCACAGATATGGTGTGCAGAGGTGGTACATGAAGAGTGATTCTGGACAAAAACTGCGCCAGGCAAGCTCTGCTGTTTGCATGCTCAATGAGCTCATATATGGTCTGTCAGATCAGTCTCTCTCTGTGTGTTTGCAATTATTCAACAAGAGTTCAGCACAAGTGGTAAGGGTACCTGGTCAAAATGACCACTTAACTTCAAGTGGTCTACATAGCGGAGTAAGAGAAGTTTGGAAGATAAGTGAGCGAATGGACACTGAAGACGATATTATTCACTGTATTGGTAGTATACTACATGAGTATATGTCTCCGGAAGTGTGGGATCTTCCAACAGAACAGAACTCTGAGCTATGCCTAGCAGAACTTAATGTTCCAATGCATTTCTTCCGTGATACAACTGCACTACAACAAGTAATTATGCATTGCTGCAATTCTTCAATAGTTTTTTAAAGTATTTTTTTTCTTGTTCCAGTTTTAACTGTATTTCAACTTTTGTTCTTCTCCATCAGGTAATGCTTGACGGGATTGGGGTCTTTGGTATTATTCTTCATCAAGATTTTGCACAGAGTGGGTTTATGCACTCTTCACTTTATCTTCTACTCCGGAAACTTATCAGCTCAAGTGCGCAAATTAGAATTGCGTCAGATGCTGTCTTAAGAACACTTGCTGCCGCTGGTGGTTACTCTACGGTAATTGATGATGACCTTAGTTCATGCAAAATTCTTTTACTGTCATCATCGGAATTACCGCTTATGTTTTTCTTCCTGTGCAGGTTGGCCAATTCGTTGTGGCAAATGCAGATTACATTGTTGACTCTCTTTGCAGACAATTGCGCCATCTAGACCTCAACCCCCACGTCCCTGATATTCTCGCTTCCATGCTGTGTTACATTGGTGCTTCTCGTGACATTTTACCATTTTTGGAAGAACCGGTATGATAGGGATGGTTACGAATCTTCCCCATTTCATTTTTTTACATGGTTAAGTGCTTTTGTACCCTCATATAACAAGCTGCCTTGTAAAGCATCAGTTGCCAATTAGTCAAACCAATTACACTTTATGGCTTCCGAAGTTTGAGCACTTATCCTTCTGAGATCACTTCCCTTTTTGATTATACAAAGAGGATATGATGATGCATGGGGAAGTAAAGAACAAATGATGCCCTTTGATCAAAACAAAACATGATTATTTTTGAAGTTTTGAAGCCAGTTTCATATGTTAACTTTTATTGCAATACATGTAATATTTACAGATGCGGGCAGTTTCTTCAGAGCTGGAGGTTCTTGGTAGGCATGATCATCCCCATCTAACTGTTCCATTTCTGAAGGTATTATGATATACAATTACGAAATTTGATATCATGTGATGGCCGCTCGACAGTTCTACTAAATGGGCATTCGCTTATAGCACGTGTGCATGGTGCTGGCTGGGATTTCAAATTTCAGCTACTGGTTTTACCATTTTAACTATCATGTGCTATTGGCAGGTTTTATTGTATACTATCTGTTAAGGCTGTTCATCAACGGTTTTCAAAACCCGTTCAAACAGTGCAGGGCAGTGCATGCAGTTGATGGTGTCTTTTGGCACTGGCCTGGTTTTGTGCATTGTTTTGACCCAACGGGTCAATGAACAGACATAGGCACATAGCTTTCGCGCCTTGTCTTATATCTTGGATGAGGGTTTGATAGTCTACCTACGGTTTGTGCCATGTTGATTATTGAGCATGCAAGTTAAGAGTGCAGTGACAATAGTACATAGATACATTATCTGTTCTGATTGGCCTACCATCTGATTTGTTAGGAGGTCATCGTGGTTCAATGGTCAAATAAAGTGTGGTACAAAGCGACTAGTAGTGCTATTTTGTCTGTATTAGCATCCAAGTGGTGAAATTAGTTGGAAAACGACATCTCTATGTTTTTCTTCTTCTGATAAAATATATGCACATGTGTTTGAACTGGTGAAGTCTACACATTTTGTACAGAACTCTGTACAATTAAAGCCCAATTGTTGATTTGTCTCTGATTCTCTTGTATTAATGTTGTGCTCATTGGTTCAGAATTCTGGACCACCTACGTGTTATTCATCTCTTTCTCTGGTCATGTTTTGCTTGTGCACTAATACATGTTTCACTGAGCAAGTTCTTCCTTTCTTTCTTTTTTGGGTTTCTCTAGGCAGTCTTTGAGATCGCCAAGGCATGTACTCATGAGTCTATTAGCTTACCAGATGAGGTGCAATCATTTTCTGTGAAGGTCAGATCAGAGCATCAAGCAGTCGAAAGTTTGATAGAGAAGAGAAGAGAAACCAGCGTAATGCCTGGTAATGCTTGACAGGACCCAATTTTGTTTTTCTACAGCAGTTAGTTTGGATCGTAGCACCATCATGTTCCCCAGAAAATATGGTTTAGAGTTCATTTATTCATGAAGTCTTATTCACATAGTTGCTTTCTCATAACCTGTTTTGATTGCATCAGGTACAATGGATGTTGATGCCCAGCCTGATTTTCTGAGCTTGGAATATTGGGAGGATTTACTTTGCAATCTAAATGATATGAGAAAATACAGGAGAATAGTTGCATCTCTTGCTGGGTCTTGCTTATCAGCTGCCACCCCACTTCTCTCCTCAACCAAGGAAGCAGCATGCCTTGTGGCCCTAGACATCGTGGAGGTATTTCTTTCTGTCTGCTAATTATGCAACAGTGCATTGTGATAAGCGCAAGTTCTGATCCCATTTCATAGGATATTTCACTTGCCGGGTCATTTATAGGTTTCTTTATTTTACCTGCTTTGCTGGCCATTATGTTTTGGCAATAGCTTTTGGCCATCTTTTGGCATCCTTCATACTGGTCTTCTGTTTGGTACAATAACTTGAGCTAGCTCTTGTCTATTCTGTATCTCGAGGAATGCAAATTGTACAGTATAAAACCAGGGAGGTTTCCTATAATGTGTTTGTGTACTTGTATGTCGCATATGGCTGTTTTCATTTCCTTTCAGGTTAATCGTACTAACTAACCTATTACATCACCCCATTTAACAGCTTTAGCAAACCTGATACCTTGCTTTACTTGGCAGCATAGCTCTTAGATGTCATTCTGTTGTGACTTAATGTTGAATAAAGTAAAATTTCAGCCATTCATTGACAAACAAGGGTTGCTTCATCCTGACAATTAAGTTCTCTGGCATTTCTTGTCACAGTAAAATTGTACTTTGCCATCTACAGAATGCTGTTGTATCTATTGCCAAGGTTGAGGATGCATATAAGTGTGAAAATGAAACCAAAGCTGTTATCAAGGAGGCAGTCCAGCAATTGTCCTTGGATGAACTTCTTGATGATATGGACACTGCTGAAGATGTTGACGAGAATAGACTACTCCCAGCTATGAACAAACTATGGCCATACCTGGTTATCTGTCTTAAGAACAAGATCTCAATGGTGCAGTTTCTTCACATCTGATATTTTTGCATCGCGTAAATTACTGTTCTCTTGGTACTTGCTTCTTTGGTTTTCTAGAATAAATGCTTACATGAAATGTTTACTTTTTAGCTTCCTAAATTATATCACACTTCAGTGGTAATATTTCATTTCTCACCATCATGATACATGAAATGTTTACTTTTTAGCTTCCTAAATTATATCACACTTCAGTGGTAATATTTCACTTCTCACCATCATGAAATCATGGTGTAGAAGGGGAGCCTTGGCGCAGTGGTAAAGCTGCTGCCTTGTGACCATGAGGTCATGGGTTCAAGTCCTGGAAACAGCCTCTTACAGTGTGACGCCCCCGATTCAATCGTACACTAATCATGCATGCAAATGTGTACGATCAAGATCAGGGACTCACGGGAAGATATCACAACACAACTCTAAAACATAAATAAGTCATACAAGCATCATAATACAAGCCAGGGGCCTCGAGGGCTCGAATACAGGTGCTCGATCATAGACGAGTCAGCGGAAGCAACAATATCTGAGTACAGACATAAGTTAAACAAGTTTGCCTTAAGAAGGCTAGCACAAACTGGGATACAGATCGAAAGAGGCGCAGGCCTCCTGCCTGGGATCCTCCTAAACTACTTCAGGTCGTCGTCAGGGGGCAACACGTAGTAGTAGGCACCTCCGGTGTAGTAGGGGTCGTCGTCGACGGTGGCGTCTGGCTCCTGGACTCCAGCATCTGGTTGCGACAACCAGAAAGAAAGGAAAGGGGAAAAAGGGGGGAGAAAGCAACCGTGAGTACTCATCCAAAGTACTCGCAAGCAAGGAACTACACTACATATGCATGGGTATATGTGTAAGGAGGCCATATCAGTGGACTGAACTGCAGAATGCCAAGAATAAGAGGGGGATAACTAATCCTGTCGAAGGCTACGCTTCTCGCAGTCACCGTCTTGCATCAAGTAGAAGAGAGTAGATTGAAGTCCTTCAAGTAGCATCTCCAAGTAGCATCTCATAGCATAATCCTACCCGGCGATCCTTCCCTCGTCGCCCTGTAGAAAAGCGATCACCGGGTTGTCTGTGGAACTTGGAAGGGTGTGTTTTAATAAGTATCCGGTTCTAGTTGTCATAAGGTCAAGGTACAACTCCAAGTCGTCCTGTTACCGAAGATCACGGCTATTCGAATAGATTAACTTCCCTGCAGGGGTGCACCACATAACCCAACACGCTTGATCCCATTTGGCCGGACACACTTTCCTGGGTCATGCCCGGCCGCGAAAGATCAACACGTCGCAGCCCCACCTAGGCACAACAGAGAGGCCAGCACGCCGGTCTAAACCTAAGCGCGCAGGGGTCTGGGCCCATCGCCCTGAGCACACCTGCACGTTGCGTGGGCGGCCGGAAGCAGACCTAGCCTAGCAGGCGTTCCAGTCCAATCCGGCGCGCGCCGCTCCGTCGCTGACGTCTGAAGTGCTTCGGCTGATACCACGACGTCGGGATACCCATAACTACTCCCACGTAGATGGTTAGTGCGTATAGGCTCGTAGCCAACTCAGATCAAATACCAAGATCTCGTTAAGCGTGTTAAGTATCCGCGAACGCCGGACAGGGCCAGGCCCACCTGTCTCCTAGGTGGTCTCAACCTGCCCTGTCGCTCCGCCACAAAGTAACAGTCGAGGGCCGTCGGGAACCCAGGCCCACCTCTACCGGGATGGAGCCACCTGTCCTTTCAGCCCCCTCGTCAGAATCACTTGCGGGTACTCAATGAGCTGACCCGACTTTAGTCACCATCTGTAAAGTATGTATGTATGTATAGTATATACCCGTGATCACCTCCCAAGTGATCACGGCCCGATAGTATAGCAAGGCAGACTGACAAGAATGTAGGGCCAATGATGATAAACTAGCATCCTATACTAAGCATTTAGGATTGCAGGTAAGGTATCAACAGATGTAGCGACAATGTCAGGCTATGCATCAGAATAGGATTAACGAAAGCAGTAACATGCTACACTACTCTAATGCAAGCAGTATAGAGGAGAATAGGCGATATCTGGTGATCAAGGGGGGGCTTGCCTGGTTGCTCTGGCAAGAGAGAGGGGTCGTCAACTCCGTAGTCGAACTGGGGTACCGGCAGCGGTCTCGGGGTCTATCGGAAAAAGTATCGAAGGGGGGAACATAATAAATAACAGAGTAATCAAATGTAACACAAAGCAAGACGCGGCAATACGTTGTGCTAGGTGTGCCCTAACGCGATAGGTGGTGATACCGACGAAGGGGGGAAACATCCGGGAAAGTATCCCCGGTGTTTCGTGTTTTCGAGCACAGGAGCCGGAGGGGGAAAGTTGCGAGTTTAATAGGTTAGGGATGCGTGGCGGACGAACGGGCTGCGTTTCCGGGTTCGTCTCGTCGTTCTGAGCAACTCTCATGTTGAAAATATTTTAATCCGAGTTACGGATTAAAAGATATGATTTTTTTAAGGATTTTATTAATTTCTGGAATTTAATCATTTAATTATTTAATTCAAAAAATGGAATTATGGCGTCAGCATGATGCCATGCTGACGTCAGCAGTCAACAGGGTTGACTAGGTCAACCCGGACATGTGGGTCCCGTTCGTCATACTCAGTTAACTAATTATCTTAGTTAAGTTTAATTAACATTAGTTAATTAGGTTAATTAGTCATTAGGTTTAATTAATCAGGATTAATTAAATTAATTATTTACTTAATTAATTAATTAATTAATTAATTTTATTCATTATTATTTTTATTAATTATATTTATCTAAATTCCTTTTCCCTTTTTTTT